TCTATTCTTCATCCTCATTTTGGACATAGACAGATGTAAGCCATAGCTCTGTGTCTTCCTTTGTGGATGACACCCGGATTGCCATGGCAGTGACCTCCGTCAAAGACACAGCAAGACTACAAGTGGAAATCAACCAAATCTTCGAGTGGGCCACTCAAAATAATATGAATTTCAACGAGGAGAAATTTCAACTACAGTGGAACCTCAGATTTCAAATGTATTGCTTATCAAACTCTTCGAAAATCGACCACTTTCTTCGAACCAACTTTGTCCCTATTATCAAACTCGCCCCTATTTACGAACTGCTGGGTACTGGACCTGTCCACCAGCCTACTCTGTCCATGTCCCCGCGTAGGTGTCATGAGCCAGTCTGGCTTTGTTGATGCTTGAGTGAACATTTTATGATTAATTCATTGTGTTTAGTGCTTGTGGGACTGTGAAATAAGCTACCATGGGCCCAAAGAAACTTGCTAGTGGTACCCCTGTGGTAAAGAAAGTGAGAAACACCATAGATATGTAGAAGGAAATAATACAGAAGTATGAGAGTGGTGTGAGACTTGTTGAGCTTGCTAGGATGTATGTGGACAGTTATTTTGTGAGACAGGGGTCCAGTGGCTCTCAAGCTGGTCCTAGTGGCATTACAAGACAGAGATGGGAAGTAACCCCAGAGAGGGCTTTGATAACTAAAGTCCTTATGGAGGGGGATTCCCCTTCCAAACACTAACCCCAACTCCCTCTCTCCTCCCTATCTTCCAGATGCCATCACCAATCTTCAATAAAGGTAAGTAAAAATGTTATTTTATATGTTTATTTAAATTTATTAATAATTGTACACTATATTTGTTGTATGTAAAACTATATTGTAATACTACCTATAAAATGCATATTTTTGTGAATATTTTTGGGTTTCTGGAACGGATTAATTGTTTTTATTATTATTAACACACTAGCCGATTCCCACCAAGGCAGGGTGGCCCGAAAAAAGAAAAACTTTCACCATCATTCACTCCATCACTGTCTTGCCAGAAGGGTGCTTTACACTACAGTTTTTAAACTGCAACATTAACACCCCTCCTTTAGAGTGCAGGCACTGTACTTCCATCTCCAGGACTCAAGTCCGGTCTGCCGGTTTCCCTGAATCCCTTCATAAATGTTACTTTGCTCACGCTTCAACAGCACGTCAAGTATTAAAAACCATTTGTCTCCATTCACTCCTATCAAACACGCTCACGCATGCCTGCTGGAAGTTCAAGCCCCTTGCACACTAAACCTCCTTTACCCCCTCCCTCCAACCTTTTCTAGGCCGACCCCTACCCCGCCTTCCTTCCACTACAGACTGATACACTCTTGAAGTCATACTATTTCGCTCCATTCTCTCTACATATCCGAACCACCTCAACAACCCTTCCTCAGCCCTCTGGACAACAGTTTTGGTAATCCCGCACCTCCTCCTAACTTCCAAACTACGAATTCTCTGCATTATATTCACACCACACATTGCCCTCAGACATGACATCTCCACTGCCTCCAGCCTTCTCCTCGCTGCAACATTCATCACCCATGCTTCACACCCATATAAGAGCGTTGGTAAAACTATACTCTAATACATTCCCCTCTTTGCCTCCAAGGACAAAGTTCTTCGTCTCCACAGACTCCTAAGTGCACCGCTCACCTTTTTCCCCTCATCAATTCTATGATTCACCTCATCTTTCATAGACCCATCCGGTGACACGTCCACTCCCAAATATCTGAATACATTCACCTCCTCCATACTCTCTCCCTCCAATCTGATATCCAATCTTTCATCACCTAATCTTTCTGTTATCCTCATAACCTTACTCTTTCTTGTATTCACTTTTAATTTTCTTCTTTTGCATACCCTACCAAATTCATCCAGCAATCTCTGCAACTTCTCTTCAGAATCTCCCAAGAGCACAGTGTCATCAGCAAAGAGCAACTGTGACAACTCCCACTTTATGTGTGATTCTTTATCTTTTAACTCCACGCCTCTTGCCAAGACCCTCGCATTTACTTCTCTTACAACCCCATCTATAAATATATTAAACAACCACGGTGACATCACACATCCTTGTCTAAGGCCTACTTTTACTGGGAAATAATCTCCCTCTTTCCTACATACTCTAACTTGAGCCTCACTATCCTCGTAAAAACTCTTCACTGCTTTCAGTAACCTACCTCCTACACCATACACCTGCAACATCTGCCACATTGCCCCCCTATCCTCCCTGTCATACGCCTTTTCCAAATCCATAAATGCCACAAAGACCTCTTTAGCCTTATCTAAATACTGTTCACTTATATGTTTCACTGTAAACACCTGGTCCACACACCCCCTACCTTTCCTAAAGCCTCCTTGTTCATCTGCTATCCTATTCTCCGTTTTACTCTTAATTCTTTCAATAATAACTCTTCCATACACTTTACCAGGTATACTCAACAGACTTATCCCCCTATAATTTTTGCACTCTCTTTTGTCCCCTTAGCCTTTATACAAAGGAATTATGTATGCTCTCTGCCAATCCCTAGGTACCTTACCCTCATCCATACATTTATTAAATTATTGCACCAACCACTCCAAAACTATATCCCCACCTGCTTTTAACATTTCTATCTTTATCCCATCAATCCCGGCTGCCTTACCCCCTTTCATTTTACCTACTGCCTCACTAACTTCCCCCACACTCACAACTGGCTCTTCCTCACTCCTACAAGATGTTATTCCTCTTTGCCCTATACACGAAATCACAGCTTCCCTATCTTCATCAACATTTAACAATTCCTCAAAATATTCCCTCCATCTTCCCAATACCTCTAACTCTCCATTTAATAACTCTCCTCTCCTATTTTTAACTGACAAATCCATTTGTTCTCTAGGCTTCCTTAACTTGTTAATCTCACCCCAAAACTTTTTCTTATTTTAACAAAATTTGTTGATAACATCTCACCCACTCTCTCATTTGCTCTCTTTTTACATTGCTTCACCACTCTCTTAACCTCTCTCATTTTCTCCATATACTCTTCCCTCCTTGCATCACTTCTACTTTGTAAAAACTTCTCATATGCTAACTTTTTCTCCCTTACTACTCTCTTTACATGATCATTCCACCAATCGCTCCTCTTCCCTCCCGCACCCACTTTCCTGTAACCACAAACTTCTGCTGAACACTCTAACACTACATTTATAAACCTATCCCATGCCTCTTCGACCCCATTGCCTATGCTCTCATTAGCCCATCTGTCCTCCAATAGCTGTTTATATGTTACCCTAACTGCCTCCTCTTTTAGTTTATAAACCTTCACCTCTCTCTTCCCTGATGCTTCTATTCTCCTTGTATCCCATCTACCTTTTACTCTCAGTGTAGCTACAGCTAAAAAGTGATCTGATATATCTGTGGCCCCTCTATAAACATGTACATCCTGAAGTCTACTCAACAGTCTTTTATCTACCAATACATAATCCAAGAAACTACTGTCATTTTGCCCTACATCATATCTTGTATACTTATTTATCCTCTTTTTCTTAAAATATGTATTACCTATAACTAAACCCCTTTCTATACAAAGCTCAATCAATGGGCTCATTATCATTTATTTCTTATGGGAAATATTGCTTTGCCTTTCAAACTTTTCGAATTTTGAACTAGCTCCTGGAATGGATTGAGTTTGAAATTTGAGGTTCCACTGTACTCAGATATGGAAAACTTGAGGAAATTAAAAATGTATCAGGGTATACAACAAATTCTAACCATGCAATAGAGCAAAAAAGAAATGTGAAGGACCTGGGAGTGATAATGTCAGAGGATCTGGCCTTCAAAGACCACAATAATGTATCTACCTCATCTGTTAGGAAAATGATAGGATGGATAATGAGAACCTTCAGAACTTGGGATGCCAAGCCCATGATGATCCTCTTCAAATCACTTGTTCTCTCTAGGCTGGAATACTGCTGTACACTAATGGCCCCCTTCAAGGCTGGAGATATTGCAGTCCTGGAGGGCATACAAAGAACTTTCACAGCACACATAAGTATAAGGCACCTAAATTACTGGGAACGGTTGAAGGTCCTTGATCTGTATTCTTGGAATGCAGGCAAAAGAGATACATGATAATATACACCTGGAAGGTTCTGGAGGGATTGGTACCAAACCTGCACACGAAAATCACTCCCTATGACAGCAGAAGACTCAGCAGGAGATGTAACATTCCCCCGATGAAAAGCAGGGGCGCTATGAGTACATTGAGAGACAACACAGTAAGTGTTTGGGTCCCAAGACTGTTCAGCTGCATCTCAGGATACATAAGGGGGATTACCCTGGCTGCCTTCAAGAGGGCATTGGACAGGCACCTAAGTCAGTACCTGACCAACTGGATTGTGGTTCGTATGTCAGTTTGCTTGCAGCCAGCAGTAACAGCCTGGTTGATCAGACCCTGATCCACCGTGAGGCCTGGTCTCAGGTCGAGCCACAGGGGCATTGACCCCCTAAACCCTCTCCAGGTAAACTCCAGGTAAACATCCACCTCAAAGCCACTAAGCTCAGGGTCAACATCACTTTTCTCTTAAAAGGGGAGTGTTAATATGACATGACATCAGTGAATCCCTGGTGTTTGCCATGCTGTTTGCTCTAGCTGGCACTCAATTGAACTGGCACTCCCACTAGGTACTAAGTGGTCCCAGATTTTTTTAATACTGTGCACACCAAGTATTAAGACCTATTCTATGCTGACCAGACATCTCAGGCCAGTCTTGCCAAATTTGGAGGCAGGAAAAATGAAACGTTGACTTACGTTTGGACAGTTAGGGGGGTAATTTTGCTTTTGTAAATCCTCATACATTCTATTGTGTGCTCGTAGCATTTTATTGTCGGTTTGCTATTATCACACTTTATTTTCTAACACTTGCCATCTCCCGCTGAGGTAGCATGACCCAGAAAAAAGAGGATACGCATTTACCATCATTCTGTCAATCACTGTCTTTTCAGAAATGTGCTGCCATCAAGGTTCATATGACTCTCCCAGTTGCAACATCCTCATGCCTCCTTCAGAATGCAGGCACTGTACATCCTTCCTCCAGATCTCGTATATAGCTAACTGGTTTCCCTTCAGTCCATTTCAACAGCACAAGTCATATAAACCACTTCTCTCCTCTTACTCTTATCTAGCAAGCTTATTTAAGCCTGTTGGATGTTCAAGCCTCTAGCAGACAAAACCTCCTTTAGCCCTCCCCCTGTTCCCTTCAACCCTTCCTTCCCTCCCAAATTTATATACTGTACTCTCCTTATTGTCCTATCCTGCTCAGCCCTAATCTAAACTAACCACCTCAACAACTCCTCAGACCTTTTAATTATCACTTTTTTATTGTATTAAGAGTACATTTAATTTAAAGTGGTCATAAGTATTTTGCAACAAACTAGTTAAATAATAAAGTGCAATTCTGTACATTGCTAATTCATTCAGGTGAAAGAATTTACTATAGTTTCTCAGTGTACATTGAAATACAGGTGTAATTACCTATTGTTAGCTATCCATTTGTAGCTACAGAAACCAAGCTATGTTCATGGTATCTCATTTTCAGTAATTAATTCGTCACATACATATGATGTCCATATTATGCATAGTGTTTTGGCCAGGGTTAAATCTGCAGTTTTTCATTGAGAATATTGTGTAAACAAGAGAGTAAGCATTATTGTACAGAAAATTTAATAACAAGTGTAAAATAAAATATCTTTATGATAACACTGTATATGATAGTGAGGTTTGGGCATCAGAATTCAAATGTGATTTTTACATTGAATGTTAAAACTTATTGGAAGCATGTAATATTTTTATTTTTAACACCCTGGCTATCTCCCACTGAGGCAGGGTGACCTAAAAAAGAATAAACAAAAGTTTTTCTTTTTCCATTTAGTAATTTGTACAGGAGAAGGGGCTACTAGCCCCTTGTTCCTGACATTTTAGTCACCGTTTACGACATGCATGGCTTACAGAGGAAGGATTCTTTTCCATTTCCCCCTGGAGAAGCATGTTATAGTTGCATATAATGTATTTAGTTGCAAGAAAATGTAAAACAAGGAATTTAAAGTAAGCATGGAAAAAAGCAAGGTGATGAGAGTAACAACCATTATATTCTTTGTACAACTATGTATCATGTCAAAATAAAAATTATTATTATTATTATTATTATTATTATTATTATTATTATTATTATTATTATTATTATTATTATTATTATTATTATTATTATTATAAAGGTCTAGGCAATGACTGGAGGGAATATGGAGGAAATGAACATAGATATTTGGGAGTGGACATGTAGACATAGGGGTCAGTGAAACACGAGGTGAACCATGGAATAAACTAGGAGAAAAAATGGTAGATGATGTACTGATATATCCAAGAAGAAAAGTTTATTTATGAAGGCAAAAAGAGGAATGTACCAGAGTATAGTACAGTGGCATCAAAACTTGTATGTAAGTGTGAGGCGTGGACTTCGACCGGAGCAAGGAGGTGTCTTGAGGCATCGGAGAAGTTATGTTTGAGAGCAATGTGTGGTGTGAATATCATTTAGAGAATTTGAATTAGAAGATGTGGGGTTACCAAGGGTTTAGGTAATGAAGCTGTTGAATTGGTCTGGGTATTTAGAGAGGATGGAGCAGAATAAGATGACCAAGAGTCTATAAATTGGGGTGGATGGAAGTTGATGTAGGGTCATCCCAGTACTGTTAGAAACGAGATAAGGGAGGTTTTGATTGTTAGGGGCATGAGCATCCTGCAGGCTTGTGTGTGCGTGTTAGATCAGAGTGAGTGGAGACAAGAGTGTTTTAATGTTTGATATACTGTTGGTGTGTCATCAAGTTAACATTTTTGAGGGGATCCAAGACTTGCGAGTCCTGGAAGTGGGAAATACAGTGCCTGCATTCTGAAGAACTGGTGAGGATGCTGCAAGTGGAGCTTCATCTGAATTGAGGAAGACAGTGATTGAGTGAATGATGGTGAATGTGTTTCCTTTTTTTTTTTTTTTGTCGCTCTATCATGATGAAAGATGGTGATGAGGTAAAAAAAAATATACTTTATATAGAATCTCTTTTCATTACAGGAGATCAGTTATAGTCAAACATTTTAGAAATTATGTATGTACATGTTTGGACTTGTCTTGTTTAGCTGAGAGAATAAATGCTTGGATGTTATAAATAATACCAGCATGCTTGACAAATATATTGGTTTGTTGTATTTCAGGGTGCTCAAGAGTTTGTGGTACCTAGTAGACATCCTGGAAAATTTTATTCTCTGGTCCAAAGTCCACAGACGTACAAACAGTTAGCTATGATTGGAGGATTTGACAAATATTTCCAATTTGCTGTTTGTTACAGAGATGAAGGAGCTAAACCTGATAGACAGCCAGAATTTATGCAGGTGAGTAATGCACAGGGTTTATATTTTATATATTTATCATATTTGTACCTGTTTAATATCTAGAGTACAATACATTTGACTTTAGATGTTATGTGTAAATTCTGTTTTAACGCACTGCCTGTCTCCCACCGAGGTAGGGTGACCTGAAAAGAAACACTTTCACCATCATTTACACTATCACTGTCTTGCCACAGGTGAGCAGATACAGGTGCACATCCCTTTATCCGAAACCCTTGGGACCTGTATTGTTTCGAATTTCAGACTTTTTTGAATTTCAGAATGATTCTAAATGCCGCCACATGGCTGCGTGACCCAGCACGGAGATGACTGATGCTCCACACTCCACGAAAAAACTTCGGTTTTCAGAACTTTTCGAATTTCAGAATTTCGGATGAAGGGATTGGACTGGTACGACAGTTTAGATTTCCCTCTAAATAGCAAATATCCCAAACACCCTCCTTTAGTGTGCAGGCATTGTACTTCCCACCTCCAGCGCTCAAGTCCGGTTAACCAGTTTCCCTGAATACCTTCGCAGATTATTATCTTGCTCATACTCCAACAGCTTGTCAAGTCCCAAAAACCATTTATCTCGACTCCTGTCTAACATGCTCACACATGTTGTACATGAATGGTAGACAGTACCAACAAGATAAAAAATTAGATGCGTGTGCAACATCTGGGTATCTTTATTGTAGATGTTTCGCCATCCAGTGGCTTTATCAATACAAATTCAAGGGCATAATTGGAAGACAAGAACTACAGTGGAAACTCAAATATTGAACTGCTCCCAACTCAACCAATTATGTAAGTGTGTTTTTGTAAGTCCTTTTACAATAAGTGTATTTTTGAGGGTCTCAAATGAACTAATCTAATTTACATTATTCCTGATGGGAATAAATTTGTTCGGTAATGGCACTCGAACAGCCGTCTGGAACGAAGAAAGTTCGATATTTGAGGTTCCACTGTACAGTGGACCCCCGCCTTATGAACACATCATGTTACGTTAAATCAGCCATATGAAGCGTTTGAGCGCAAAAATTTTGCCTCGCCTCACGATAAAAAACTCGCCTTACGTGATTCATCTGGGACGTTTCCCACGCGTGGCCTCAGCGCCAGTGTTTACAAGCCAGCCAGTGCAGTCGAATCTATGCATACATTCAGTACATTTCACATTATTCCAGTGTTTTTAGTGCTTGCAACTGCAAAATAAGTCACCATGGACCCCAAGAAAGCTTCTAGTGCCATCCCTGTGGTAAAAAGGGCGAGAATTAGTATGGAATTGAAAAAAGAGATTAAGGAAATGTGTGCAAAGTGGGTTGAACTGCAAACCTTTACGGATGAAAATCACCCTGACACAGCTACTGCAAGCCGTGTTGGCAACCTGTACAATGACAATGTTATGGCCCATTTTAGGAAAGTCTTAAAGGAACAGGAGGTACAGAGCTCTATGGACAGATTTGTTGTGTGACAGAGGTCCAGTGACTCTCAAGCTGGTTCTAGTGGCATTAAAAGAAGAAGGGAAGTAACCTCAAAAAAGGACTTGCTGCCTCAAGTCCTAATGGAAGGGGATTTCCCTTCTAAACAGTAACTTCCACACTCTCCCCTCCTCCCATCCCATCAATCATCACCAAATCTTCATTAAAGGTAAGTGTCATGTATTCTTTTCTTAGTAGAGTAGTAATTGTGCATGTCTTCTTCAGTTTGTGTGTATTAAAATTAATATTTCATGTGGTAAAAAAAATTTTTGTTTCATACTTTGGGGTGTCAGGAACAGATTAATTTGATTTCCATTATTTCTTATGGGGAAAATTAATTCGGTTAACGATAATTTTGGCTTACAATGAGCTCTCAGGAACAGATTAATATCGTAAGGCGGGGGTCCACTGTATATACAAAAGATGAGGTAATCAGTCCCTCAGCCTTGGAGTTGGTTTGAAGAGCACCATAGTTGTGAAGATTCTGGAGCACAGGGAAGGAGAGTGACGCTTACTATGCTTGTCTTCCAATTATATCCTTGAATTTGTATTGATAAAGCCACTGCATGACAAAACATCTACAGTGAAGATACCCAGATGTTGCACGTGCGTCTAATTTTTCATCTTGTCGGTATTTTATATCATTCATGTACAACTTGTCAGACACTACAACATCATGGAATCTTGGTTCAGAGGACATTTACATAACCTTCTTCACGGCTACTACTACTGTACTACCACCAATAACCCATGCCTTGGGTATGACCTACTTCCACTGGGGAATCCTGCCTACCAGTGACCATGCCCTCGTCTGCTACCCACCCCCTTTCCACCTGTCACCAGTATAATAAGTGCCAGCCTTCTTGCCTGTGCTCCAGAATTTTCACAACTACAGTGCTCTTCACACCAACTCTAAGGCTGAGGGACTGATTACCTCATCTTTTGTCTTCCAATTATGTCCTTCAATTTGTATTGCTAAAGCCACTGGATGGCAAAACGTCTACAATACAGATACCCAGATGTTGCACATATGTCTAATTTTTCATGCTAACACATGCCTGCTGTAATTTCTTTTTTAAACTCACTGGCCATCTCCCACCAAGACAGGGTAACCCAAAAAAAGAAGCACTTTCACCATCATTCACGCTATCACTGTCTTTGCAGAGGCATGCACATACAACAGTTTAGACGTACCCTGTGTTATTAGCCATGAGTTGGGTTTTCTTTTAACCAAAATCTGTGCCCCAGATTGTACCCCATAACTTACAGTTGCTGTTTTATTTTATTTTTTTCATTAGCTCTTCAAGGTTTATGTTTCAGTTAAGTACTATATTAAACTGAGCATTGTTCTGTGGTTGAATGTTAAGTTGGGGAGCAAGGTATGCTCTTCACTTTACTGTTGAGGTAGACTCAGCAAAGAGTAATATATGATAATCCTAGAATAATTTTTATTTGAATGTTTTATCATTTATTTCTTCATTATTTGTTAATTTCTTGTTGTGCAGGTGGACCTGGAGATGACGGATGTAACCATGAGAGAAGTACAGCACCTGACAGAAAACCTTCTAGTCTTTTCATGGCCTACTCATCTGGCTGCTATTTGCTCTCCATTTCCTGTTTTAACTTATAATGAGGCTATGAGCTCCTATGGAGTTGATAAGCCAGACACCAGGTTTGATTGGAAGGTTAATATTTTATGCCATATACAGTGTTTAGTTTTATCTTCTTTTAGGTGAAAATCTGGCAATAAATTGGGATATAATGGCATATTACTAAAAGGCATTAGAACAAAGACTTGAGTTGCAAAAAAAAAACATTTATTTATTAGCTCTGCAGAGAGTGAAAATGTTGCTCTAATAATATCTTATTCTTCAAAGAATAAAAAGGCACAATTCTCTAATTGGAACAATCAGGAAATTGTTCCAGTCAGGAGAAAGAAACTTATGATGACATTTTGGTTCGACATGGACAGTTAGCTAGTCACAGTAGTTAATGGTCCACTTCGGACCGAAACATCGTCAAAAGTTTTTTCTCCTGTGTGCTGGTTATTTGTATAGCTTATTCTTCAATTTGTGTCTTTGTTTTTATACAAGTGGTTGTTGCAGATGATCCATTATTGCAGTTCTAAAAGTCAAAGTCAAGTGATTTTAATTTATTGCATAATTAGTAGTACAGTGGTACCTTGGGATACAAACTTATTTCGTTCCAGAAGGCTGCTCAAGTACTGATACTGAACGAATTTGTTCCCATGAGGAATAATGTAAATTAGATTAATTCATTTCAGATCCCCAAAAATACATTTACAAAAGCACATACATAAATACACTTACAGAATTGTTCGAGTTTTGAGCTGTTCATATCCCTAGGTACCACTGTATTTATAATATTAATCTTCAAGGTACAGCACTTCGTGTCTGCCATCTCACAGATAAATTTACCCATTCCTTTTCTTATTATCTCTGATCTAGCTAAATCCATTCCTCTAACCATTTTAAGTCTCTCTTAAATATAAATAGTGAGGTCTTTAATTGTTAGGCAAGTGCAAGTAAAAATTTGTTGATGTCACGATCTGTCGTAAGCTTAAAGAGAGAGAAAGAGAGAAAGAAAGAGAGAGAAAGACAGTGAGAAAGAAAAAGAGAAAGGGAGAGAGAAAGGGAGCAAGAGAGAGAGCAAGCAAGCAAGCAATAAATGTAGAATGTGTTATAACAAAAATGAAACCTAATTTATTCTAGTCCAGACAAAACCTAAGGGCAAGGTTACCTGGAAAATACTATCCTGCACAGAAAAAATGAAACAGTCCTTATTTTTTCACATTGGCTAAGTGCTGTTTACAATGATGACAGGAGCTGACATCACCCTGCCAACAGCCATGAAAATTATTGCTTGTTGAAATGGTTGCAGGTTTGGTGTAAGCAGTGTCCATAGGTTCAAGGTGGTACATTTACTATCTGTGAGATGGTGTTTCAATAACTGAAGGTAAATTGAAGTTATCTGTTTAAATAATTAAAATTTGCATAAATTAATTTAGCCAAACACAGTAAATAAATTTTAAAGAATTTCTTTTTAAGGGAACGAGAAAAATATTTCCATTGATGAAGAATTAATTTCATTCTGTCTAACCTAGAGTGCTTGCTGAAGTAAACAGATCTGATGACAAAGTCAGTTTTATGAAAGGGACAACAACAAAGTACATAAAGGAAAAAATAATTGAATAAGGTAATGCAGGTGTATTAGATGAACTAATTAAAATACAGTGGAACCTCAAAAATCGAACGTATCACATATCAAACGTTTCGAAAATAGGACCATTTTTTCGGACAAACTGTGTCCCTATTATCGAACGCGCCCCTATTTTTGGACCGCCGGGTACGGGACCTGTTTGCCGCCCGCTCTGTCCATGTCCCCGCGCAGGCGCAGTGAGCAGTCCTAGCTTTGTTTATGCTTGAGTGAACACTAACCAGCGCTCTCATTCACGCATTTTACGATTATTTCGTTGCGTTTAGTACTTGTGGGACTGTAAAATAAGCTGCCATGGGCCCAAAGAAACTTGCTAGTGGTACCCCTGTGGTAAAGAAAGTGAGAAACACCCTAGATGTGAAGAAGGAAATAATACAGAAGTATGAGAGTGGCGTGAGACTTGTTGAGCTTGCCAGGATGTATGGGAAAAACAAGTTGACCATCGGTTCTATCCTGTCAAAGAAAGAACAAATCAAGGAAGCTGATGTTGCAAAAGGTGTTAATATAGGGAGTGGATGAGGTGCCTTCTTCAAAGATTAAGGAGATTTGTGCCAAGTGGAATGATGTCCAAATGTTGTGCAGAAATACCACCCTGAGAAGCTGAAACAAGCCATCTTTGCAACAAGTTCAGTGACAAACCATGCCCATTTTGGGGAAATTTTAAAAGGTCCCAGAAACAGAGGACTGTGGCAGTTTTTTTGTGAGACAGGGGTCCAGTGACTTAAAAAAAAAGCGGGTCCTGTGGCATTAAAAGAAGAAAAGGGAAGAAAACCCCAGAGGGGGCTTTACCTGAAGTCCTCATGGAGGGGGTTCCCCTTTCCCAAACACTAACCCCAATCCCTCTTCCCCTCCCTATCTTCCAGATCCATCACCAATCTTCAAAAGGAGTAAAAATGTTTTTTTTTGTTTACTATACAGTGGACCCCCCCATAGCGACCTTAAACCGTGCAAGAGGGTGGTTTTTTTTGCGAAATGTTCGGTATGCAAGAATTTTCCCCATAAGAAATAAGGAAATCAAATTAATCCCTGCAAGGCACCCAAAAAATATGAAAAAAAAATTTTACACCCGAAATATACATTTTCCTAACACAAAAAAAGGATAAATGCACAATATAGAGTAGTACATGCACAATTATTTTTAAAGTACTACTCTCTAAAAAGAAGAATAAATGAACTTACCTTTTTGAAGATGCAGCAATGACTGATGAGACACTGTTTCCCGGGAGTGCCTTTTCCCTGGTACTGTAGGTCCTTTTTGGATTTTCTTCCAGAACGGCCTTACACACTGTGATGCCCCTACGATTCTTAAAAATCCAAACCAACCTTTGCTGGTTTAAAATTACCAATTGAGCACTTGTTCCCGGCATTTTTCCCGTTCACCTGGGTGTTAGTCGATGGTTGGGTTGATCCCGGGGACGAATTAAGGGCCCCCAAAGGAAATAAGTTAGGTCCTCGATGAGCATACTTTTTTTGGGTTATCCTGGGTGGGGTAAAACCCCGGGGGTTAATTGTTTTCGGGAATGTTTCAGTTAAGCCACACCAACAAAACTCTCTCCCCATCTTTTGAGTAATACAGGGTGATGGTGGTGCCCGCAACAAAACAGCTGTGGGGCACTGACCATGGTGCAGCAGCAGCTGGGGGGGGAGCTTTGGGGCAGCAGGGAGCTGGGCTGTGGTACAAGTATTTTTTTCACCCTTTTTTTACCCCAGGGTTTGGCACTAGAAGTTTCTTTTTTGGGGGCCCGGTGGGGTTATTTTTGCAGTTACAACACTAAAATAATGGAAAAAAACAAAATGTATCGAATGAAAAGCCAAACAACCCGGGGCCCCCTGGGGGTTTTAAACACGACGGCAAGGCAGGGGCTCAAGGGTGGACGAAGGTTTTTGGGGCAGGTTCAACGAGGGCATGTTCCGGGAACCCGCGATGGTTTCAACACAGGGTTGGGCCCCTGGGGCCCGCAGCAGCTGGGCTGGTCCCCGCAAAAGCTGACTATCCAGGGAACAGCCCGACCCGGGCCACAACAGCTGACTTATTTTTTCAAAAGCTGAAGGGCCAGCAACAGCTGACTGGGTCCAAACAACACTGACCCGGCCCGCAACAGCTTTAAATGATTTTCCCGCAACACCCGACTGGTCCAGCAAAAAGCTGACTGATCCAGCCCCAAAACTGACTGATCCCAGCAAAAGCTACTGATTTCCAAACAACACGATTCTTAAATCCTCAAACCAACCTTTTCTGGCTTTAAAATTTACCAATAGAGCACTATTTTCCCGGCGTTTTTTTCCCGTTCACCCATGGGTTTGTTTGATGGTGTGGGTTGCATCCTGGGAGAAAAAGAATTTAAAGGGCCCCCAAGGAAATAATTAGACAGTCTTCGTGACCCCTGGGCTTTTTTGGGGAAACCTGGGTGGCAAATCCTCCTTGGGGGAAATTTTTTCTTGGAAAAAACCAAAAAGGGCCCCACCAACAAACCCGGGGCTCAGCAGCAGCAGCAGCTGAAAGGGGGTACAAGCAAACAGGGCGATGCCTAAAAAGCAGCAAAGGGGCCCATGCTACAGCAGCCCGCAAAACGATGGGACAGCCGCAGCAGACATGCTACAGCAGCAACAAAACGATGCAAAAAGGGACAGCAGACTGCTACAGCAGCCCGCAGACGAGCTACACACAGCAGGGCGAAGGGTACAGCACAGCAAAACGTTTCTACAAACAGCCCAAACTACTTACACAGCAGGGAGCAGCTGACGGTGGTACAAAAGCAGCAGCAGCGACGGTGGTACAACAGCAAAAAACAGCTGACGGTGGTTAAAAACAGCACAAAACAGCATGCGGGGGTAAAAAGCAAACAAAAAGACGATGGGTACAGGGAGCCCAAAAGACGATGCTACAAACCGGGAGCAGACGATGCTACAGCACAACAAAACGATGCAAAAAGCAGCAGCAGGGCATCCCAAAAGCAGCAGCAAACGGTACTAAAAGGGACAGCAGAGCACAGCAGCTGACGGGGGTACAAAAAAGCAGCAGCCGCGGGGGAGGGGGTACACAGCAACAGACAATGCTAAAAGCAGCAACAGACGATGCTTTCACAGCAGCAGAAAATGCTAAAAGCAGCCAAAAAGGGGGGATTTCAAAAGCCAGCAACAGACGATGCTACCCGCAGCAAGACATCTACAAACAGAAACAAAAGATGCTACAGCACAGCAACGATGCTACAGCACAGCAATGGTACTAAAAGCAGCAGGGAGAGCTGACGGTGCAGCAGCAGCAGCTACAGTGCCAGCAGCTGACAGTGAGCAGCAGCTTTAAAGGTGGAAAAGCAGCAGCAGTCTGACATGCAGCCAAAAGCACGACAGTGCAGCCCGCAGCTGACGGTGGTAAAAGCAGCGCCCGTACCCCTAATAGTAGCGATGGTTTATTTTGGGGTTTTTATACAAAACCGGCCCGCTCGGA